AAAATAAAAAAATATATATACTATATATATATATATTTTTTTTTTGAACATAGGGGAATTTTGGGGGAGAGAAGATTAAAACCAAGGTCATAACCTTAAAATATACACACCCTATCCACTGCATCAAGTGCTGCGGGTGTGTATATATACTATGTTATTAGTAAAAAGAAAAGAAAAATAGAAAGTAAGGCACCTAACAATATTGAGTGCCCGATTTAAATTATCCAATCAATGGTTACGTGGCAGCAAAGTGATAGAGTTGGGTGGTGGAGGACAACTGGCATCGGCACTCCTCATTCTTCAAAGTTCAAACCGAAGTTATTTAGCTGCCGCTTTGCTCAATTACTTTCCCAAAGTCTTCTGTCGAAGCCGAAATCGACAACGTTGAAGAAAATCAGGAAAATGTCTCCATGGTTGCCGGAATTAGTCACCGATATTCTCCTGCGCCTCCCGGTGAGTTCTCTTCAACGATTTAGATGCCTTTCGACATCATTCTGCGCCGAAATTGATAGTGAGAATTTCGTCAAGAATCATCTCAAAAGATCAATCCAGATGAAAACCGGCCAAAAGCTACTCGTCTACAACCCAAGATTCGAGGGTGCCAGCGATTTCTACTTTGCTGATTTTGATGACGACCTCGTTGATGCCTTCCCACTCAAAATGCCATTGGTATCTCGTCATCGCGACACATCCGTATACGGTTCTTGCAATGGTTTGTTTCTCATGGGTATGGATTCTATGGATTTTAAAGTTGAATACCAAAGTTTGGATCTTTACATATGGAATCCATTTACCAGGCAGTATAGGAAATTACCGCCTTGTCCAGTCCAGACCCCTTCTGGGTATGGAGAAGTCAAGTGCTTTGGTTTAGGGTATGATTCTGCTCGTGATGACTATAAGGTTGTCATGATTTCGAAGGCTGATGACTCCAATCAAGTCTGGGTTTTTGGGTTAAAATCAGATTTTTGGAGGAGGAGCCGAGATTTGGAAGATGAAGTTACCACATCAGCGGGGTGTTTTGCAAATGGTGCTCTGTACTGGATGTGTAAAAATAAGTGTGTTGGTTTTGATCTCGAGAGGGAGGTGTTCTTTGACATTCCGCTATTGTCTGATTGTGGCCCAGCAGCTTTCTTTTTCGATTCCTTCGATTCGTTGGTGGTTTTCCGAGGTAACCTTTATTTTCGTACATTGGTTGATGAAAAGGTAGAATATTACTTGCTTGTGAGTGATGTGAGTGATAAGGGTGGAGAAGTTGTAGGAGTTAGTTGGAGGAAAGAGTTCACTATAGAGAATGTCGAGAATATTTTGCATGATGTATTTCCGCTCCTGCCTTTGGCTTATTCAAAAGATGGGGGTAGCATTCTGCTTCACGACTTAAGTGGGGTTTTTTGGTATAACCTTAAAAACAGAACCAACCAAAGGGTGAGTATTGCTGGGTTGCCTGATGTTCCATGGTCCAGATACAATGTCTGTTGGGAAAGTCTTGTTTCTGTTGGCAAGGATAGTGCATTTGATGGAGCAGCTGAGGAAGTGACAAATTGAAGCAGACTTCTTTTAGAGGTTCAAGTTTGTGAAGACTAATAGCTGTTGTGATGTAGTGAATGGATATATTTTTGGATGGTGAGGATGATTGTATTTCAATGAAATTCCATGTCAATCCAATATCTGTTTTAGCTCTTCTTATGAACCCCAGTTTAGTACCTTTTGTGGAATTGTGCATTGTTGAAAATGGGACATGGGAAATTCCTTATATTTATTTGGGAACTCTGCTTTAGACATGTATCATGTATTGCAATGTATGTTATATAAGCTTGTTGCCTAATTCTTAGAAACAGGTTGAAAACTTCTTTTCTGCATAACAGTGGTATGATGGTGTAGAGTGCATGTGTGTTGTGAGTGGAGGGTGGAGGAACATGTGAACACCTATTTTTTTCAGTGTGTGGCTTTGTGTTCAGTGTGTTTGGACATATATCTATACTTATGATGTAGGTGTCCAATTAGTTCCTCAATGCTGGAGTGGGGCAGCAATGGAAGGAATCATCTTACTTTGAAGGTGAGAGTTGTTTTCACAGCTGCAGTGAACTTCCATGGATGGCAGCATAGGAATTGTCGTTTGTATATGCAGAAAAGCATGCCCTCTAAGGTAGGTTGTAAACTGATTTTGCAATTGCTTGAGAAAGGGCAGTTTAATCTCTTTAGTTTTATTTAGAAATACTGTCTATAAAGAGATATATGCTATTTTGCTCAAAAACTATCAATGTCTTGATTATTGGTTTAACCAACTATTATTGGATGCTATCTTGCATTATCATAACTGATTTACTTTGAGTTGGAATTCAAAAATTAAATCATAGAAATATATCTACAGGTAGGAACATTTTTCTGTATAATACATAACATGCTCTTTGCAAAGAAAAATGGCATTATGAAAAACAAAAAAGAATCAAAATGGCGTTACAGGACATCCCAAAAGGCAACTGCTGTCCTGCTTTATTTTTTATTTCATCATGTAGTTCTTGCTGCCCTGTTTGGTTGCTGAGGCAAAATGGGAAAAAAAGCTTTACAGGGCAAAAAGGTTAGGTTAAATGGGTTTATCGTTCGGTGGCTAGAAAAAAGAATGGGTATAAAATTACATTGCTTGGATTTCGAGTTCCGAGTCTTCTTTATCAACACTCTTACTTTATTATTAAATAATAGTTAAATCTCTTAATATTAATAGCTTTTTATTTAATTATTTTTATTTTATAATTAAATATAATTTAAATTACAAAATAAAAGATTCTACTTCATATAAGATGTGACTTGATTCATGGATTAAGAGCAATATCCCGTCCGGATTAAAAAATTAATACGATACCTGATTGCATGCTCATTCACAGCCAGGCCCAACACTTTCAGACCCAAACGAAATGTGATTAGACACATAGGATCTAGTCCATTAAAATGAAGTAATGAACCATGCAAGCTCGGCCCATGGTATCAATTGATCTGTTAAAATTAAAACAAAAAATATATTTAACTGCCACTTGCTCAATTGCTTCGCTTAACATATTTGTTTTGAGGGAAATATGTGGGATGAAGGAATATTTAATCAATGAATAATGATAAATGAAATGAAAATTTGAGATTAAAATTTAAAATTAATGATTTGATATAAGTTATATTATTTAAAATATTAAAAAATAGATTATATATTATTTAATGATAAATTTTTTTATTTTTTATAATATTATATATTAATTAATTTAATGATGTAACATTTTAGATTTTCGTTTTAAATTTTTATCTTTTTTATCATTATTGTCATCTAATTAAATTATAATCATTTTAAATATTATAATACATTTTAAATATTACAATACTAATGGACAAAAAAATCTTATACTAATGGACAAAAAAATCTTTCTCCTCCCTCTTCTTCAAACCAAATAAAATGTTTGTCTTCTCACAAACCGGATATTGCCGACAATCATGAAAAAGATCCAGAAAAAATCTGCATTGATGCCGGAATTAGTCACCGATCGATATTCTCCTGCGCCTCCCCGTGAGTTCTCTCCTCGGATTCAGATGCCTTTAGAGATCAGCCTGTTCCGAAATTGACAGTGAAAAGTTCATCAAGAATCATCTCAACAGCTCAATCCAGAGGAAAACCCGCCAAAACCTGATCATTGTATAATGAAAACGGTTAGTTTTAATGATATAATTAATAAAAATATTAATTTTAATGGTATAAATAACAAAAATTATTAACTTTAACAATCCGAATAATAAAAGTTATAAGTGTGTAACAAAATGTGTGATTTTATAGAGTGTATTAATCATTTTTCTAGTTAATTATGTCAACTAATACAATATTTACAACAATGTTATTATTTATGTGTAAATAAATTTAAGATCTTATAGGTCTATATGATGTGGTTAGGCTTATGTAAAGATCCGTTATTTGCTTTTTGGATTATACTAACGATTCGTTATGTATTTTGTTAATTTTGAGGCTATGATTATTACTTTTAACATTAAACTAAAAGTTGTTTTACTTAAATAGAAAAAACAGAAGAAACCGTTCATAATGAATCTTGAAAACTATATATCATCCATTTTTTTGAAAATCCATTTTTAAACTTTTGCGTATGGTTCCTGTCAAAAGCTTTATTATACTGAAGAAGCCATGGGCAATAACAAAAATTTATAAGGACGTTTGAATTAATTGTCTAGTTATATTTAATATTTAATAATTATTAATTTTTATTATTTATAAATTAAAATATTTAATTTTTTAATTAGAACTAGAAAAATAATAACTAAAATTTATGAATAAAGCAAATAACAAAAGCGAAAAAACCAGTTATGGAGCTCATTAGCTCATTGAG